GTTTCATATTAACTATTTTTATATAGAGGTAATTCTATATATTAAGAGGATAACAAATGGAAGATTTTAATAACCACGTTACTAAATTTTGATCCCTGAAATCTTTGGTAATACCAATGTTCACTTTGTCTGGTTTTGTTGCAGCATGCCCCAAATATGCTGAATGGTGCTTTGGATGGTGCGTACTTGGAGCCTTGCACCGGATATATGCTAAATATATAAATGAGTTAAATATGGAGGGCATTCCAGTTCCTGTGCCAGTCTCAACGCCAATATACCAAAAATTCGAAGAAAATAATCCTGAAGTTAGTCTTTGCGTGTATAAATGGTCTAATGAAAATAAGCGTCTTGAGTTCCAGTATATATACAAAGAGGTTAATCTTCTGGTTATCTCAGAGCCAGATGAAATAGAAAATCCGCGCTCACATTATTGCATTATTAAAGATATTAATAGACTGGTTTATAACCATAGTAAGCACAAAGAGCGGAAATACCTTTGCCAATATTGCCTTCATGAATGTTCAGGAATAAATGGCGCGCCACAAGAGCCAAAAGTTCCAAAATTAGAAAAGAGCACCAAGGCGTTCTATAACCATAAATGCATGCCCAATCCTTACCGAATATTTTGGGACCTCGAATGCTTAACTACAAAGCTAACCCCGGAAGAGAAGGCCCAATTAACCCGTACTGAAAAAATTCAGCGACATATGCCCTGTGGATATAGTTATGCGGTTGTCCGCATGGACAGTTTTCTCAATTATGGAATTATAGGCCACGATTTGTATAGCATTAGAAAAATTCGTAGATAAATTGGAAATAGAGCTAGCAGAATTCGAGCAGATTTATCTGCACTTGCCGAAATGGTTATGGAACCTGGGGACTATACAAGGCATAGAATGGCAACGGAATGCTGGATTTGCAAGAAAGATTTTTCGGCTTGCAAAGAAAAAGATATGGTAAATATAGAGCTATCCAAAGTTCGGGATCATTTCCATATTAGTGGTAAGTATAGAGGTCCTGCTCACAGCGATTGCAGTAAAAAATTACAAATGGGTGCTTTCAAAACCAAAGTACCACTTATCTGTCATAATTTTCGAGGCTACGATTCTCACTTGCTTATAGAAGTTGTCTGCAGATTTACTTCTGACAGACCTAGATCAATATATGTTAGTAGAGAGGGGAATTCGTGGGGGCATGTCTATGGTTAGTCAACGTTATGACAAAGCTAATAATCCGCAGTGTTCTATTATGATGAAAGCAAGCCGAATTCATGGGATATGTATGAGGATATGATGCCTTATATTCTGGCGCCATGACGCAATATTTATCAACAGAAGGTTAGCCCCCGAGGAAATTCCTAATATTTTAGAAATTTCGATTGACGCTGAAGAGGACTATTTACTTGAAGTTGATATGGAAGTTCCGTTAAATTTGACACCTGTGATCAACATCAGATTTATTATTCATATGAAGAAAAATTTATTTTGTGAACCCCAGAGATCTGGGTAGACAGACATTATTGAAAATTTCATTTCTGCATGGCCTTGGTATTGTTACTACCTGGGTGATGCAATTGTTATGTCAATGATGATATCAAATGTATTGAATAAACATCAAAACCATCATGAATATATAATGGATTCATGTATTCACATATATGAGGAAAGGATTAAATAACAAAAAGCTAAGTCATGTTTATTTTTTATCCAACCAAGATATATAATTTAATTATAATTATTTTATTTCACTCTTGCAATGAAAGGTATTATTCTGAAATCATTTGCTTATTAAGCATTAATAATTGAATCAATCACACAGATGGTAGTCAATTTAAAATGGCATTCATTTTTTTAAATGAAATATATTATTTTAAATGTGTAAAATTTTTTTAAAAGATGTTTTTATAATAATGATTTTAATCTTTTTTGATAAATGTAAATCTTTATTAATATTAATAAAAAATCAGGAAACATGAAATTTTTGCACAATTATTTTTCATGGGACCAGTTGACCAAATTTTTCAATTTTTCTTCATAGGTTATTGAACAACCACATTTTTTAAATCATTTACTTAAACCTATTCCATTGATTCATCTAAGTTTAATTCCATTTATATACTTCAATTTTAAAACAATTATAAAAAACTTACAAAGTGAACATAAGATTATATATATAGGGGTAGGTGTATATGAAAAGTAATAATAAATACAATGGTTCTAATGAATATCAAAAGGCCATTGATTTTTTAGAAAAAGGTTGTGATTGTGGTTGTTCTTCAAGAATTCCCAAAGAACAATTTGCAGAATTAAGAGAATCTTTTCAAGCTCTTTCTAAATCAGAACAAGACATATTTTTAATGGCCCAATTTAAAGCAATGGATGATGGATCAATAAGCACTAGTAGACGCCTTAAGAAGAAAACTTACACTTCTTTGTCAAGAAACTTATTTCAATATGCTAGGATTTGGCAGAACTTATTTTGAAAATATCAGAAATCATCTAATAAACAATGGTCTTCTGCCAAGAATTCATGGTAATATTAAAAGAATGCCTCAATGAAAAACTAAAATGGTAATTGATAAAAATATTGCTGAAGTAGTAAAGAATTTTCTGGAAAATTATGCTGAAGTCCATGGATTACCAAGTCCAGGAAGAAGCATCAATAGAATAACTCAATCAATTGTATTTTTACCAGCTGAAATGAGTTATAAATCAGTCCACAGGGATTTTCTAGCTGGTCTAGAAGAAGATAGCAAATTAAAATCTTTGAAATATGATGCTTTCAGAAAATTATGACGTCAATTGACACCAGAAATTCAAATTATGAGTCCCAGGACTGATATGTGTGATACTTGTCAACATTTTAGGGATGGTTTACATTATAATGCTCGCCAAGAAGAAGAAGCTAAAGATTTGCTCAAAAGATTTAAAGAACATCTATCCAAGGCCAAAGTAGAAAGAAATTATTATAATAAAAACACTAAATTAGCAGAAGAACAAAGAAAATTAGTTAATCAACATTATTCAAAGAGTAAAACACAGTATTGCAGTATTGATGCTGCTGCACATTATAGTTATGATTGAGCCCAAAATGTTCATGTGCCACATTTAGATCAGCAAGTAAGTAAAATTTATTACCTTAGTCATGTAAAGTTCATTTATTTGGTATTCAAGATGAAACAGTAAGGGAACAAATCAATTATGTTCTTAATGAAAATGAAATTATAGGTAAAGGTCCTAATGGAACTCTGAGCATGATTTTTGATGGAATTAAAAAATTGAATAAAGGTGAAAAACATTTAAAGATTACTTGTGATAATGCTGGAGGACAAAATAAAAATAATACAACTATTTGATTTTATTTACATTTGGTAATTTGTGGTTATTATGAAAGCATTGAATTAAATTTCATGATTCCTGGACATACAAAATTCAAATGTGATGGTAATTTTGGCATGATTAAAAAACTTTATAGAAAGACAAGAGTAGATTGTCTGGACCATGTAGCTGATGTAGTGAAAAGATCTAGTCCAGCTGGATTGAATAAAACTCAATGTTATGAAGGTGGAAAAGGTTTTCAATACTTAGATATTAAGGCTATTTTGGGAATTTATTTTAAGAAGCTAAATGGCTTGCAAAGATATCAACATTTTCTTTTTGAAGCATCTAATCTTGGTACAGTGAAAGTTCAAGAAGTTGCTAATGGACCTTCTGTTGAGTTCAATTTATTGAAAACTAAGAAAGCAGATATTTTTGAAGAAATTAAAGCTCTATCTATTTTAGTGTTAATGCCACCTCCTTTGGATTACAAAAGGCAAGAATATCTTTACCAGAATATTCGTCCATTTGTTAGAGATGAATTCAAAGATATTACTTGCCCAAGACCAATTTATGCTGACAATGAATAAAAAATTTAAAAATAAACTTTCTCTATTATTTTATTATTATATTATATAAAATGATTATATACTTAATAGTGCTTTTATAAAAAGAAAGATATTAAGTATTTATTAAAAATTGAAGAATATAATTAACAAAAAATCATGATAAACATTATAAATGAACAACAACAAGCAAAAAGAATTATTAAACGAAATTGAAACATTGAAAAAGCAATTAGCTGAAAAAGAAGAAAACTTTAAGCTAAAAATCTGAAATGCAGTTCACAGTCTTACTGAAAGTTCAGAATATACTGGAACAAGTTTAAGAACCTTAGAAAGATTTACTTGAGTCAACAATGGTTGAGTAAGTTATCCAGAAAAGAATGGAATTGAAATTGGAAGAGTTGTTTTTAGCAACAAATTCACTCCTGAAAACATTGTTAAAAGTTTTGGTCATGAAGCATTAAATTATGAAGAAGCTTTTGGTTTTACTTATCAAGAAAAAGAAGAATTAAAAGAAAAGGATGCTCTTCTAGAAAAAAAGGTTGTTGAGTTACAGCAAATTAATCAAGAGTTGGAAGAAGCATTAGAGCTGGAGGTGGAAACATCTGAATGTCATTTAGAGGCTCTTGAAGTAGCTAGATAATGGAGAGTAAGGCAAAGCAAGGGAAAAAATGACAACTTAGAAAAAGCTTTGAGAAAAATATAACTGCTAGAAAACACTGTGGCATGGCAGAATTAATTAGCAGACAAGCAACTTCAAGAACTACCAGCTTTACCAAGGAAAGAAGACAAATTTAAACTCCTAACCAATAAACTAAAGAAAAAAACTAGTCAACTAAAAGAAATAACTAGAGAAAAATTCAATGCCTACATTTTACAAAGAATAAATAGTATGAAATTAGAATACCAAGTTAACAAGCTGAGGAGAGGAGATAAATGGTATTGTAATTTCTGTCCTTTTGAAAGAGAAAGGAGTTTAACCACTACTTACAAAATAGTATCTTACAATACAAGCAATAATGATTACAATGACATTGCTTATATTTGTGTTGAATGTAAAAAAGCTCTTGATGGTAATACTTTGCCACATTGTAATGATTGTGGTAGAATTATGAGAAACAGGATAGATTGTTTTTGTGATTTAAGGAAAG